TATATATACACTCAGCGAATATATATATATATACACTCAGCAAAATTTCCATAGTTCCACTTACAATTTTTACATATAAATATATTCACAAAACATTTGCATTTTTTTTTTGTTCATTACAAGAGTTATTAGGAATAAATAAATAAGCAAATAATTTTAATATAAAAAAATTATTAATTTATTTTGTAAAACTTAAACGTTAGAAATATTTCGAAAAAATAGGCAAAATTTCTATAGGTCCATCAAAGGTAATTCTTTATAAGTGTGCTACCACTTTTCACACTAATTAATTAGAAGATTCTGTTTTTCATAGTTCCATCAAAGGTAATCCTTTATAGTTTTTGTTCTAGATAATATTTTTTTAATTAGTTTAGTTTTTAATAATATGTGCTGCCACCTTTCACACTAATTAATTCGAAGATTCTGTTTTTCATACTTTTTATAAGATTTTCCAAACAAACCTTTAAAATACTGTTCCATGCTTGTTGGATAGATGTTTTAAATTCTTGTAATGTATTATACTGTTGAGAATTTCCATATATAGTTTGCACCAATATTCCCCATAAATTTTCAATAGAGTTCAGGTCAGGTGAACATGATGGCCAATCTAAAACATTTATCTATTTATTTATTATAGTGTTTTGGAGTTATAGAGTTGAGAGAGGGTTATAACCACAAATAAGTAGCCTCCTCGTCTGTAGTGGCCTTCTTGGCCTTGAGGAGATGAATAAAAAAATAAAAATAATAAAAATTTATCTTTTTTTTCTGGAACCACTTTTTTAAACTTTGTGCTGTGTGAATCATCGCATTATCTTGTTGGAAAATCCAGTTCTCAGTAGCTAAACCTTCACTAAACTCTAATAAAATATCTTCTAAAAGATCTGCGTAATTTCTTGCATTCATTTTTGTTGTAATAAAACATATTGAAATTTTGTTGTGGAAACTTAAATCTTGCACTTTTATGTTTTTTTGTCAATGGTGATTTTGTGATCATTCTTTTCCATTGGAATTGTTCTGATTTTAACAAAATTTGTTGGACACGTCTTGTAGTCACAGGTAATTAAAGTTCAGTCCTTACTTGTCTTGGTGTTCATATTCCTAATGACGCCAAACGCAAAATGAAAGAATGTTGCCTTTTGGTTGTTTTTTTATTTCCGCCCTTAAAGTGATTTTTGTTGTAATTTTTATCTAAATTTATAAATTTGTTCACTGCATGATAAGACCTTTTAATTTTCTTTTCTTTGCTTTGCTTTTGCTTTACTTCGATTGGACAAACCCATATCTTTATAAGCAACAATTTTTGCTTTTTTTTTTTAAATTGTTTTAGAAACACATAAAATTATCATAAAAACATTTGTTTGCAAAAGGTCAAATAAAAAAAACTTTTGTGGTTAATTTTATAAATGCGTTTCGCATAAAATCTGCAATAATTATTGGAACTCTAGAAATTTCGCTATATATATATATATATATATATATATATATATATATATATATATATATATATATATATATATATATATATATATATATATATATATATATATATATATATATATATATATATATATATATATATATATATATATATAGTATATATATATATATATATATATATATATATATATATATATATATATATATTTATATATATATATATATATATATATATATATATATATATATATATATATATATATATATATATATATATATACTCTTGCATGGTAGTCAAAAAGTTTTTCCCATAAACTGTAGTTTTAAAGAGCGCGTTAATAAGCCGGACCAGAAAATGTTAAAAGACTTCAAAAATTTTTTTTTTTTAATGATAGACTGCCTGCCCAAACCAAATCATTAGTCGATGTAGCAGCACTCCGTTGCGAGTCAGGCTATTTGTCAGTCGATGTAGCAGCACTCCCTTGGGAGTCAGGCTATAAGATAATCGATGTAGCAACACTCCCTTGTAGCAGCAGGCTATGAGATAGTCGATGTAGCAACACTTACGCATGTTTTAAAAATGTTTTTTTAATAAAACAAAAACAAAAACACTATTAATTAAAAAAAAACTTTCTAGTCATTATTATTGCGGTTTTTTTAAAAAACAATAAAATTTAATGTACTTCCGCATTAATTTAATTGCTTTGACATTTCGATGACAATCAAATACAGCTTAAGAGCCGAGGTAATTAAAATTGTAGTCGAAAGAGACTTTTTTTACCATAAAAGTCTCTTTCGACTACACTATAAGGATATATATATATATATATATATATATATATATATATATATATATATATATATATATATATATATATATATATATATATATATATATATATGTATATATGTAAACGTGTGTGTAATATAAACTTATACTACAAATGTTGATCATTGGTCAATTTTATTTTTTTATTTTTATATATATTTATAGATTTTTTTATTATTTATTTTTATTTTTTTAAATTTTTTTAATTGATATTATTGTTGAGTACTGTTTTGGTTGTATAGCCTGTCTTATTTATTTTTAAATATTCCTCTATTAATCTTTATTTTTGTCTTGACAACTGTCAAAATATGCTTATTTAGTTTTTAAAAGTCAATAAATTCAAAATAAAATAGTTACAAGATGAATCGTAGGGTGCGTATCTTTGCACTAACACTTGGATCATAAAAAAATTCTTTAAGTAAGCATAATCTTTAAATGAAATTGTCGACTGAAACTGATAACTTCCAAGTTGAACGTTATCAACAAATATTCTTGGAGTTGTTCTTACAAAAAGAGTAAAAATTGAAGAAACTTTTGGAGGTACAAAGCTGTCTTCAGCTGTGATACCTAATTGATATTGAGACAAAAATTGAAATCCATTTGGTGGTTTAACACGAACAATGCCTAATAAAAAAAAAACTTGCATTAGTATAAAAAATAACACAATATTTAAAATAAATCTATTTTTTCAAAACTTCTACCTCAAAAAGTTATTACTAATTACTACTATATTACTTACAAATATATATGAAATATATATATAAAAATACAAATATATATATATTACAATACTATATGATATATATATATATATATATATATATATATATATATATATATATATATATATATATATATATATATATATATATATGTATATGTATATATATATATATATATATATATATATATATATATATATATATATATATATATATATATATATATATATAATATATGAACATCAATGAATACAAGTTCTCTCAATACTAATTTTTCATTAATTTATAAAAGTTTTGCTAGATTTCTGATTTTACCATTTTCAGCTTTAAATACAAATTAAAATATGTTTAAATTTGAGTTAACAATTTTTTTTTGAAAAACACAGTTTTTTTGAAACAACATATTTTTATTGAATATTAAAGTATTAAAAAGGCAGTTAATAATGGAAAAGTATGTCAGATAAGTGAAATGATAAGTGAAAACATCTAAACTAAACAATATTGTCAACATTTCTATTTAAATTAAAGGCAACCCTCTCACTGAGTCTTTATTTCTATGTCTTCTTGGATTATCGATCACAACCTCTGATGAAAACCATATATACAATCAATTGCTGAACCAGCATCTGCTAAGTTTACTTCTCTTTATTGCGTTTGCCACTTTCTTACTCATGATTCCATTCTCTACCTCTTCAAATCTCTTATTCGCCCGTGTATAAAACACTGTTGTCTTATTTAGACTGGCACTTCTAATAATGCTCTTTCTTTTCAAGAAAAGGTCCAAAAACGCATTGTAAACGTTTTTAGACTTACGCTACCTGCTAAGCTTGAGTCTCTCCCCAATCGTCATTAAGTTGCATAATTTTCTCTCTTCTACAAATGCTATAATGGTCGTTGCTCAAAGGAACTAGTAAATCATCTCTAGGTCCAGCACCTAAAACTCAATCTTTTTTAATTGGTCAATCAACAAAGCCAACAAATTCTTCTACTTTATCTGTCCCTGCATGCTCTTAAAACTTTTGTTGTCAAGTTTATTTTCCAAGAACTTTAACCCTCTCTCCCATCTTCATATTTTCCTGACTCATGCAACCTACAACTTTTAGGTGTTCTGTTTTTCTTGCTCTATAACTTTTCTTTTCTGTTTCTTTGCTCTTTAGCTTTACTTACTGTCTGAAAAAACTGTGTAAAAAAACAAATTGAAAAAGAAAAAACTAAAACAAAAACTAAAACTAATCAATTTATACCAAACATTATGTTTTTTTTTAATATTGTGTACCTCTCCAAGGTCAAGAAGGCCACTACAGTTAAGGAGGCTTTTTTTTTGTGGTTACAAGCCTCTCTCTAAAACCTTAGTGAACAAGAATGCGGCATGGAGAGACAAGCTAACAAAATTACAGAAAGTCATAAATGAAATAACTATTGTATTAACTCCTACAAACATATTTATAAAAATGCTCTAAAAAAACTTTTACAATATACAATATATTTGACAAAATTGTGTTAAATTTTATACATCCATATCTCAGTAGCAGGCTATTTTTGTGTCGTGTCATCTTAACACACATTCACAGGCTTGGTCTGGAAGCAGGTGCGATCGCACTCGATAATTGACCACAGAAATAATATTTAGTTGCGTAAAACCTGCCAGATTTTTTAGTCGTTTTGAGAACATTTCAAAAACAAACAAAAAAGCGCAATAAGATTAACTGGATTGATGAGAGACAGTTAAATGCTTTTAACGCAAAAGAACTTCAAGCAAAATAAATACGATTAGAGCAAATATTTTTGAAACATCGCTCTTTTATAATTTTTTTTTATAAAATTAGGCGACATTTTTTATATAAAGTAACAACTTACTATTAATGATTAGGGGGGGGGGGGGGGGTTAAAGGGCTATAACCCTTTAATAAGACTCACAATGTTAGGGGCCACAAAATAGTGAAGAGGGCCATTCGGGTTTTTTTTCGGTCATTTTTAAGCTGTAGCACATAAAAAAGAACATACCAAAATAATGCAGCCCCCGGCCATGAAAAAAAAAACCCTAACCCTAACCCTAACCTTGAAGTCCAACAAGATTCAACCAATAAAACTAACGCTAGATGATTTATTTATAAATAAAAAAGTTTTTTTACTAATTGTTTTATGCTTCGCGTAGTTTGAAAAGTTTAACACATTTGAAACAATTCTTCTTAGTAAGATGAACAAATGAAATAATTAAACCATTGAATTAATGTAGAAATTCAATTAGCTAAATAGAAATTAACTAAAAACATTAAATTACTATGTGAGGAAGAAGCAGAACTGCTTCACAATAACGCTGATGATGTTTAGTGAGTGGGCTTTATAATTTTAATTAGTATTTAAAACAGAAAAAAGTAACTTTAAGTTCAAGTATAACAAGTTTGTAAGAATGGCTGAAGCAAAAATAATTGAAGTTAGTAAACCAATTTCTAAAAACTTAAAAACTTTTCTTTCTTGGGGGAAAGAATCAGTTATCGGGTACACTGAGGAAAATGGATTAGTGGTTAAAATTATTTGTATTAACTTTGATGATTATTAACAATTTCATTAAAAACGCAGTTATTATTGAAAGTATTTTTGTTTACAAAATCAATTGCACAAATTGCTTTAAAAGATTACATTTGAATAAAATACACATACATAAAATTACACACATAAAAATACATGGATAAAAATACATTACATACATAAAAAATACATCCCTTATATATAAAAAATAAGAATATAATAATAAAATCTATAATAATGTATTTACAAAACGTTGATAAATTAAGAAATATAAACTTAAAACATTTATTTTTGTAAACAAATAATGTTAGTTTAAAACATTTATAGCTTTGCTCCGAGAATGAGCCATAGTATTAAAATAATATTTTGTTTGATAGTATATTCTTAAAACAGTTTATGCTAGAAATCTCAACAAAAACATAACAAAACTCACATTATACAATTTTTTTAAATATTTCAACAGAATACTCTAGAATATTCGATTAGTATTTCTTGAATACTCTAGAAATTTCAGCTAGTATTTTTTGAACCAATAAAATTAGATGTCCGTAAATTTGGCGGGATTTTTGTGTTTGCAAATATTCTTTTTTTATTTTTACAAAATATTTAAAATTTACGATTTATAATAAACTTAGTTATTATTTTGCGGACAAACAAAGAAACATACATAAATTTAAATGTTCTCAAAACGACTAAAAAATCTAGCCGGTTTTTCTCAACTAAATATTATTTCCATGGTAAGTTATTGAGTGCGATCACACCCGCTTCCCGACCAAGCCTGATTCATAGTTTAAAAAATTGAAAAAAAAAGATTTTTTTTTATTTATAAAAGAAATGAATATAAAAAAAAAAAAAAAATTAAAAACCTGTTACGTCAATATAAAATAACCCATTGTTGTTGCCACTTACAATATTGTATTTAAGATAACCATCAGGACCTGGATCAGGATCATTAGCTGCCAGTTGATACACATATTGATCAGGTATGGAAGTATCAACTAATGATACAGTGAAAGATGATGATGGGAATGCAGGAGCATAATAATTTATCTAGTAACATAACCATATTAAAAATTATTATATTTCTATTTAGAAAAGTTTTTTTTTTAAAAAAATACATTTTTGGTCTCTCTAAATGTATATTTTAAATATACATTTAGAGAGAATTTTAGTATTAAGGGAAACTTAACCAAAAAAAAAAAAACACGATAAAAAATACCAGCACTATAAAAATTACAATACTCTTGAGCATGCTGATTAAGTGTCTAAACATACTTTGTTTCTGGACACATTGGCTCAATTTGGAACTTGTGAGATACAGATATACAAACCCGATTCTGAAAAAATTAGCTAATTTGGACCTAAGGTAATTTTAAGAAATCACTTTAATTTTTTCGAAAAGAGTATTATCCTTTTTTTTTTTTTTTTTTGCAAGATTCTTTTTTATTTAAAAGTGTTTACAGAGAGTTCTGATTTTGATTTAGGTTGTCTCACATCTTTGTGCCCTGCACATGGTTTATCTTATTTTTAACATTAATTACTGCAATACAACAACTCTTTATTTTTCTTATATTGGAAGAAACAAAAAACAGTATTTTAAAGAAATGTTTGTCATTTTTAACATATGTTTGAAACACAAAAGATGATAAAATTGTGATGTGATGGTCGCATTTCTCATGGTTTCCATTCTGCTTTAGTTTTTAATCAGCATGCAGTTATGCCTCCTTACCCTTTCATAAACTTTTTTTAAGGCTTCAGATGAAAGTTTTACAGTTCTTTCCACCGATTGTGACTTGTTTGGCAGAGAGAAACTTTTCTAGCAGTTTAAATAGTTTGTAACTTACATTAGGTAATAAAGAATGAAATAGGTTGCTCAAATTGTAATAAAGCAACATTGATTTCAAGCAACATTAATATCAACAAACTCCAAACTTCAATATTGAAGTTCAAGGATATAACTGGCTTATCTTTAATTTTTGACTTGAAACGGGATTGATTTCTCTAAAATAGTTGCTCCAAACTTCAGCTTTGAAGTTCAAGGGTAAATCAAATGGGTAAAATCAAAAGGGTAAATTAAACAATAAGTCAAGGGTAAACTCTTGACTTATTGTTTAAAATCCTGATTGATTTCCTCAAATAGCATAGTTGGAAGAATTTGATCAAAAGCACGGGCTCTTCCAACTTTCACATTGTCTTGTAGCAAAGCATCTAGAAACTTTTCTTGAAAAAGCAGCAGAAGTGACCCTGAAGATTTTACAAAATTTTGAATTAATAAAAAGTTGTTCATACATGAAAATTTCAAATACTTGTTTACCAGTAGGGCCTTTATAGTTTTTAAGATCATTAATTTTTCTATTTTCAATATAAGATGACAAAAAGGTAACTAACCATGGTGAAGTAAGCAACCCACTTTATGAATGCTATGTTTAAAAATCTTTTCTAATCAGACAACTAAACCATTGCTAACACCTGTGTTAAAACTTGTATTATCTAGAGAATTGCTTCTAAGCGTTCATTAGTATCAAATTCAGTAAGAAAATTCAGTAATGTTGAAGCCATACTGTTTACTGTACTATTTCTACTTCAACATTTGTCAGATATTTTCCAGAAAGAAGTCTACTTTAATAAGTAAAATTGATGCGATGTTTATCTTGAGTTTTTCTATACAATACCCATTGTATTTCATCGCATAGACTAACAAACTTGAAATACAACCTTTCCAAGTTTATCAGCTTCTACCTCTAGCTTTTTTCTCTGAAACTTCCAACTCTCTACATGCTGATAACCAGTCATTTGCATTTTTATGCTTTACATGTCCAAACCACCTAAATCTTACCTGACGCAATAAAATAGATATACCCACAACGCCTAATTATTTTCTTAAATCATCACTGCTTTTATTTTTATTAATGAAGCACCTCTTGCAGTGAAAAGTGGAGATAATTCTTAGAACATGGGTTTTATTATGTTTTTATTTTTTGAGTCAATGCTAACAAAACAGCTCAATCAAATTTTTCAAGTTTAGTTGTTTAAAGCACTTTAAGCTCACCTTAAGAAAAACTAAATATGTCCCCCTTCCCTTCCACACACAAACACTGATTAAAACGTAAGTTGATTAACCTAAATATACATCTGAAAATTAAATTTTAATCAATTATCAGTTTAACCATAGAAGTAAAATTAACACGGAAGCTAAGCCAATCAAAATTATTCAAATGAAACTTTTTGTTTCTTAAACAAATTTCTTCCACAAAAAAATCTACTTTAAAACTGTACTTAAAATGCTCAAACTACTCTGAGCAGTGAAGTTGTAAAGTAAAGTGTACATAGAGAATAATTTTAAAACATTACTTTGCCTATAATATTTGAATACCATACAACATTTGATTAATAATAATGTCAGACACTACATAAAATTGTTGTTTACCATAACTTTCAAGTTATGGTAAACAACATGAAAGTTGTAAGATCCCGTGCTCTTGATCAAAATTCTTCAAACTATGCTATTCAAGGAAATCAATCAGGATTTTAAACAATAAGTCAAGGGTTTACCCTTGAACTTCAAAGCTAAAGTTTGGAGCAACTATTTAGGGAAAGCAATCCTGTTTCAAGTCAAAAATTAAAATCTAAAAACTAACTTATTTATAACTTAAAACTTGTTTAAAATGTCAGTTACCTTCAAATAATAATATGATCATTCACTTTCAAATAATAATATTAGTTATTTCACTGAAAAGGTGTGAAAGATTAAACTAAAAAAATTTTATTTCAAAATAAAAATTTATCTTTATTATCTTATATAAATTATCAACCATTATAACTAATTGTTATTTTTTGTTTTTTATTTTAAAAAAAAGTATAAATTTTCTTGTTTTTGTTATGTATATTTGTTTTGCAATGTTGTTCTTCTCACTGAAAATGTTCTTCTTACTGGAAAAAACTTTTATTTTACATTTATAATTTCCTTTATAAAAAAAAATTGGGCCTTTTTAGAAAAATCCTGCATTTTGGGACTAACACCCCCCCATGTTACCTAAAGCTGTTTTTCTAATTTCTAATAAGAAAAAAACAATATCTTAAAATTTTTTTGTTTATCATTTTATTAAATTATGGTACTGATTTAACAATAAAATTTGAAACAACAATTTATTTTTAGTTATCTATTTTATTTATTTTAATTTTAAAAAATAAGTGAAAAAAAGTTAAATAAATTAATTTTTTTTGGTATATTATAAAAACTATATAAAAATATATATATTAAAAAAAAAACTAAATTTGATAAAAGAACTTTTAAAACTACATTACAATTTTTAATTTTATTTTTACTGAAAAAATCAAATAATTTTACAGCAAAATAATAAAACAAATCTCACTCACGCCTGTGATATAAATGTCCAGAATAAACGGTATACTTTCTATAGAAGGTCTGCCAATGTAAAATGCAACTATATACAAGGTAAAACGTTCAGTGTTTGTATCCAATGAGTTGTTAATGCGTATGTCACCTATATAGTGATTTTAAAAAGGATTTGCACTTATAAAAAACTAACTTTAAACACATTTACAAAGTTTCACAGAAAGATGTTCAATGGCACATCTTTATATGACCATGCAGGTACAACTTTTGTTTTGCTGAGTCGGCCACAGCTTTTAATTAGTTTGATAATTTTAAAAATGGCGCTTAAAATCAAAACAAAAAAAATGAAAACAAAAACCATAAACTTGAAATGCGGTAGTGGTGTAATAATAGAGCGTTCGCCACATAAACAAGAAGTTCCAAGTTCAACCCCCACCACATCCCTGGTAGTAACGTCCATCCCATTTTGACCCTCATGAACAAATTTTAATACACAGAGTATTAAAATAATCCCAAGGTATTGTTTTCTTTATGAAATGTTTTTTTTTTTTTAGATGACTCAAATCACTCTAAGATTTTTAAATTTTTTGAGTTTTTAAGCCCATTTTCAAACAATCCGGGTGAATAGAAGTTTACAAATCGTTAACTATATAATAACGCCATTACAATTAATGGAAGGTTTTTTATCTGTACCAAGTGTGCAAATTTTTATTACTATTAATTTTGTTAACTGGTGATATTTTAAAAACACAATGAAATTAAAAAAACGTGATTTTTAAACTCGATTGCCTTGAGGCCCAATACACAGCAATTAGAAATTAGTTACATGCTTTTTATCTCATACAGTTTACCCACTTCAAGCCCTGGGTGTTTAAACATAGTTTGTACATGGTTAGCTAACTATCCATTATTCTTGTTAACTCCCTGCCATCATGTCAGAAAGTTTCATATAGCCATAGCTGAAAATTAATTATTGTTAAACTGGGGAATAAACTATTTATATCATAAAACCATAAAAGGTTAACAAATAGTAAGGTAAAGATAAAACTGCTTCACTTAAAAATATCTTTTTGCAAAAAGAAACTGAATAAGTTTCTAATTTTAAAATTATTTGCGTATAGACTTTTAAGAAGAGCAGAGATTATTGTGAACTCCTGGAAAAAAATCAGACCAATAGGTGAAAACTAACAAAAATGTTTCACATGTCTTGACTTTCATGAAATTTAAGTTTCATTTCTCTAAAATCAGGCAGGTTTTTATTCTGAGTAATAAAAGTTCAAAGAGATCAATAAAATGGCTGAATAAATTTCTCTCTCCAGGGAATTGCGTTTTTAACTTGCAACTTTTTTGTTTCTGCAATTTTTAAAGTAAAACTTAATTTCATAAGTTTTGATATTTTAGTCTTATAATTTAAGAATAATTTATGTCATAAAGTAACAAATTGTTTAAAACAATGGTTTAAAATCAGATGTAAAATACAAAGAAAATAACAGATATAAAATACAAAGAAAATAATTAATTTTTTTTTCTAATGACAGACTTTTTTTTAAATCAGTAGAAATATAATAAAAATGAAATCAATAGAATTAACACTTTGATTTTATCTTGTCAAAAATAAATCTAATAAGTATTTAGCAATGTCATTTTAAACTATGGTCCTGCAAATCACCTTTTTTGGTACCGAATCAAATAACAAATTGAAGCAGGCATTACTTCACAAATTGAATCAAATCTTGAATCAAATCAGCATTTTTAGGGTATCTATGTTTTACTTAAACTTAGAATTTCTCAAAATGCTGGTTGGACGCATCTTTTGACCAAGATCACAATATAAAAATGGTAAAAAGTTCTGTATTTACAAACAAACGTAGGTCCGAAAAGATAAAAAAAAAAAAGTTAAAATCAAAGCTGAAATCCTTCTGAAAGCAAGTTGATAAAGACCAGCCACTAGATCTTGAATTGTATATTTCACCAGACTACGGGTTAATATTTGATATTTTAAGTCATAGTTTGAAAAAATGTCTTCAAATGAAACTTCCTCAGACCTTTTGGGTACAATGAATTCCAAAACTTTTAAAATCTTTCAAAGTTGCTAACAATATATCAGAAATCACAGCAAAAATGTATATCTACTAAGCATAGTTTAAAAATTTTTTTGAAAATTAAAAGGGTAGGATATTTATTTCTTAAAACAATAATGCATTTCTTGTTTTAAGAAAAATATTTTTTTTAAAAAAAATTCAATTTTGCTGTGCTTACAGTAAAATTTATTCAAAATAATATAGATTGTGTGATGAGCTTGGAGAAGCTTTAGAAGCTACTTTAAATAAAGTATTCATGTAAAAAAAAAACATTAGTGGAGTGGAGTCAAGAAGCGAGCTACGGCAACTGCTTTGTTGCTTTCTTGTTATTGAATGATTTTAATAAATTGAATTTTGATCAGATATCTAACTGCAAACTCTGAACCTTCAAAGTACATTTAATAATTATTTTTTTTAATATTTTGTTGAGATAATTGTCTTAAGCTAAAAATTTTTATGTATATAAATATTTATTGCTATACTTCTTTCCCTGCGCAGCTGTATTATTTGTCAAGGTTTGCGTTTCAGAGTTAAGAGATTTTGTAACCACAAAAGTAGCCTCCTCAACTGTAGTGGCCTTCTCGGATTTGGGGAGATGAATAAATAAAAAAATAATAAAAATAAACAAAAAACTAATCTTAATATAAGAGAAAATAAACAAAAGTAAAAAAGTAAGTTTATAAATCAGTTAAAATAAATAACTATGCAAGTCTATTAAGCGAAACTTTTAAATTAAAAAAAAAAAAACTTAATTTTGTGGCTTTTTCAGTTTATGGTTTTCATTTTCATTATTATTTAGTTTACTTTTGCTTTTTAAACATCGTATTTAAAATGCATGAAAATTATTAAACTATTTAAAAGTTCAAGTCAGCAAAACAAAAATTGAGTGATCATATAAAGATGTGCAATCCCACATCTTCCTGTGAAACACTGATTTAATAAAAAAAAATTACCTGTAGTAGAATCAATTTCAAAGATATTTTTAATGTTTCCAGATTTAATTCTGTATCCGATTACTCCATTCATCCCTGAATCTTTATCAACTGCTGACACTCTATAAACTATTCTCTCAACACTTATTTTTACCTCTATGTTTATGCTTTTATAAGAATCCACAAAAAAAGGAACTTTGTTGCTTGCATCAAGAACTTTTACAAGAATATTGGCATTTGCTGCAGCATTTGTACCGGCTGCAGTAGCTTGGACAATAAACTTATAAAATGTTGCTTTTTCATAATCAAGAGGCTTTTTGAGTAAAATAATTCCTGTTAAAATACCAATATCAAATATTTCAGAAACATTTTGGTTGGGAGGTATGCTATACATTATTGTTAGTTCTAAAAAAAGAAACAAAAAAGAAGAAACATAGATAAAAAGAAACATATGAATACCAAAAGAATTTAAGTTAAAACATATTTCCAGCAATAAATTAGTAATTATTACTAGTAACAACTTATATTATTTAAGCGACACCTTAATGATGTTAGACAATGAAAATTGAAGAAAAATGTGATTAAAGGTTTTTGTTTTGATTGCAACTTAAAAAAGCTCTTACTTTTGAGAAAATATGACAAAAACTTTTAAAGCTAATTATTAATTAAAGATAAAGATTCATTGTCAAATTGGATACATGGTACATGGATAAAATAAGTACAGAGATAACTAGATTAACTATAAACCAATATCATGTCTGAGAAAGAAATACAAAAATGTCATATTTAAGTTAGCTTCACAAAACTACACACAAATTTTGGACCAAATAGATGCTGAATTAAGTGAGTATTGTCACTTAATTCAGCATGACTGAATTAAGTGACAGTAGTCCTCCATAAGACGTCCTTTGTTCGTCTTAAATAAAATACCTGAGGACGTCTATTCCAGACGCTGAATCATTTATCGAATAGACGCTGTCTATTTTAGTCATGCTGAATTAAGTGACTGTTGTCAATTAATTCAGCATGACTGAATAAGGTGACAGTAGTCCTCCATAAGACGTCCTTTGTTTGTCTTAAATAAAATACCTGAGGACGTCTATTCCAGACATTCTTTATTTTTTTATTACAATATTTATTACAATTCAGCATTGAATATTGTATAAGTTTTTTCAGTTATTATAATTTTTATTTTTTTATTGAATATTCTTATAAATTAAATTATATTAAAAAAAGATATATTTGTTTATAAGACCATAACTTGAAAAAAAATTTTTTTTTTTTTTCTAGAATAGAAAAAAAAGTAAAAAAAAAATTACTTTTGTCTAAACTGTTTGCTTTCACAACAAATGGTGGATCAAAATATGAAGTATTTTCCATCACAGTTGTAATATATTCAGATTTTTCAAATATTGGATTATTGCTTTTCGAGTTAAGAACATTTATTGTTACCGTTGCATTTTTAACAGCAGACTTAGGAAGTGACCCACCATCTTGAATATGAATTATTATTAGATAAATATTTTGTAAATCATAACTTAGTTTACCTTTTGTTACCAACATGCCAGTTAACTTAACATCAAATAAATTAGCTTCATTACCACTTACAACTTCATACTTTATTAATCCATTAGTTCCAGAATCTTCATCAGCTGCCAGCAACTGTAGTATCTGTGTGTCTGGAGTCACTGACTCTGATATATCAACGTTGTATGTATCCTTCAACCAGTAAGGTTCAAACTTATTTATATTAGTTATGGTGATGAACACTTGGGCATATGATGAGTTTAAAGAACCCAATAAATTATTAGCTTTAACTATAATCAGGTATGCTGATTTTACATTTGTATCAAGATTATCTGTCAATGTGATTATCCCAGTATATTGATCAATTGCAAACAATCTGCTATCAATAATGGGCAAAATAGAGTAGACAATAATTGAATTGCGACCTTCATCAGGATCAATTGCATGTATTTGAACTATTACTGTTCCAATAGGAGATCCTTCTAACACAGAGGTATTATAGCTTGTTTTATCAAATATAGGAGAATTATCATTTTCATCTACAACTGTGATCCATATTAATTGAACAGTGTTATATTTTGGGTTTAATGTATTAGATGCTCTGATTTTTAATTGGAAGCTTTTTATCATTTCTCTATTTAACTGTTGAGTTCTTTGTAGTGTTGTACCTGTTGAAGATCTGTTTGGAAACAGTTGAAAGTATTGAAGATCATTGCCTAAATACAATTTTAAAAATTATATACAAATACTTTTATAACTTACTATGTTTTATAAATATATTATATATATATATATATATATATATATATATATATATATATATATATATATATATATATATATATATTTTGTATATTATTACTATTAAGGTAAAATTAAGGTAAAATTGTGCGATTTAATTTTTTAGAAAAAGAAGAAAAAAATGAAGAATAATGAAAGAAAAGATTGCTACCCCATCCCCAACCCTCAATTGATGTAGCAACATCCTGCTGTGAGTCAGGCTATTTGTCAGTCGATGTATGTACTGAAGCCCCCGCAAATTCCTGTTTTTTGATGACTTCATCTGCATGCGCCTAATGCTGCATTAACAAATGTATATATATATATATATATATATATATATATATATATATATATATATATATACACAAATAGTATTGCGTACTAAGGTAAGCAATCTGACGTTATAGTATGTATATATATATATATATATATATATATATATATATATATATATATATATATATATATATATATATATATACGTTATAGTATATATATATATATATATATATATATATATATATATATATATATATATATATATATATATATACGTTATAGTATATATATATATATATATATATATTATATATATATATATATATATATATATATATATATATATATATATTAGTATATATTAGAGTGTCAGAAAAACAAGTTTTTTTAAAAATGTCTACACATACCACCTAAATGTGTACTATATAAAACCAAAATATGATTTACAATTTAAGTTTACCTGATATAATATCAAAAAACATTTCCTCAAAATTAGATTCATTACTTTGCGTTCTTGCTGAAATAATCAGAAGATTCTTAATTTTAGGCCCATTCTCCATTACTGTTAAACTATAATCAGAAGAAGGGTTCAAAAATACAGGATACGGATCTAAAAAAATTTTAGATAATATTTTTAACATAACCAACTTTCACAAATTTTTACATAAAAATTGTTTTTTGGAGAGATTTAAAATACTAATATTATAAAAATTGACAATACTTACCAAAAACAATTATTATTGCAATACTGCTAGACACTCTTATCGTATTTTGAATTACTTCACAAGTATATGATCCACTGTCGCTAGTTTTTAAATTTATCATTTTTAAAACCTGTGAAGTCATTCCCTTTAAAGGCTAAAATAAAAATAAACCAGATTTATAAGTATAATTAAATTTATAATCAAAATCCATTCAATCAAATTGAGCCATCCAATCATATGATTTCCAATTATAACAAAACCTTAATTTCGGTAAAAAGACAATAATAAAGGTAACAACAACACCTCTAAAAAGTTGTGGAAACCTTTTCAGGCTTCTCAAATACATTTTGCATACTTTACATACAAACTTACGAAATTTCAATCATGCCCCTCAAAATTGCAACATCTTTTTCTTATTACTCCAATAGATTTTTTATCACTCCTACTTTTTCACCATTTATCACTACAATAAATACTTTTTATTATTATTATCACTTTTATAGATTTTTTTTGAAAAACCAATAAGTAGGAATAGAAGCTTCCATATTTGCCATATTTCCAAATTTGATTCAAAAGATTACTTAGGAGATATGGGAGTAGTAAATAGTGCAATGATATTGTATAAAAGTATGAGATAAAAGATTTAGAGAGATGTTAGCATTGAACCATCTAAAGGAGAAAAGTTTCTTTAACTTAAATTTGACTCAAATATTCGAAAAGTATATATACATACAGCCTAGGATAATTAGGATAAACATTCGGCCAACCTTACTGCTGACCTAAATGTGTTTGAGCTTGTTTAAAAATAGCCGGCCTTGTTTCTGTTTTATGGTTCCCCTTTTGTCAAACTTTTTTTGCAGATGCCGACTGCTAAAAGTTTGAAGTTGGCAATTTATTGCTGACCTCATTTTCCAAGGGTTGTACATACTTACAGATTCTAAAATAATTATTCTCAAATTCAAATTTATCAAAATTTACCTAGATTTATATTTAATATTTTTATTATACCTTTTAATTCAAGTTAAACATTAAATGCAAAAGCATTTATATATATATATATATATATATATATATATATATATATATATATATATATATATATATATATATATATATATATATATATATATATATATATATATATATATATATATATATATATATATATATATATATATATATATATATATATATATATATATATATAGAGTATATATATATATATCAGTGTATATATATATATATGTATATATATATATATATATATATATATATATATATATACTCAACTTGTTTCTCTGCGTGGCGGATTTGTTCGTCAAGGTTTGTGTTTCAGAGTTATAGAGTTGAGAGAGGGTTATAACCACTATTAAGTAGCCTCCTTGTCTGTGTGGCCTTCTCGGCCTCCTTGTCTAGTGGCCTTCTCGGCCTTGAGGAGGTAAATAACAAAAAAAAAAAAACTATATATATATATATATATATATATATATATATATATATATATATATATATATATATATATCACGGCTGTTTCACTCAATATAAAAGCGAGCTTGGCGTCACAATTATTTTTGTGTTTATCAAAAAAAAAAGTTTAGAAATGCACTAACTTTAAAATAATAGTGTTTTTTTCCTATAAGCGCTTTCATTTTCAAATAAAAAAAATATAAAAGACCTATTTTTTTTTAAAAAATAAATATTGACATTAAACGGAATAAAAATATTAATATTTAAATATTGCTAATGATTTGGGATCACTTTTCTGTTTTTTGTGGCTTTTACAGAAAACCTGTATTGGGTCAACTAAGATTTCATAACATTAAATTATATATATATATTAAAATATTATAAGTTGTAAATTTAAAAAGTTAAAAATTATAAAAATTTAACAGTTTTTTGATGGGAATAGCCATTCAATTGATTGAGATTTTTTTTTTTTTTTTTTTTATTTGCGTTCACTCCCAACAAGGCTGCAAGCAACCACTATTAAGTTGGGAGTAACTAGGAGAAAAAAAAGAACAGAGTTATAGAGCAAGGAAACGGTTGACAGAAGACTTGAAAAGTTGGAGGTTGTATGAGTCAGGAAAACATGAAGATGGGAGAGAGTTCCAAATGATTAAAGGGCGGGGAAAAAAACTAGATGAATAAAAGTTTTTAGAGCATGCAGGGACAGATACAGGAAACGAATGAGACTTAGCTGAATGACGAGTAAAACGAGAATGAATTTTAGTTGATGGAACTAGAGATTTATCATCTCTAGTTCCATCAACTCCTTTGAGCAGTGACCATGATAGTATCTGTAGAAAAGAGAAAGAGATGCAACTTTACGACGATGGGAAAGAGGTTCAAGCTTAACAGATAGTCCAGGTCCAACAACATTTACAATGCGTTTTTGGACCTTATCAAGAAAAGAAAGTGAATCGTTAGAAGAACCAGCCCAAATATGACAACAGTATTCCATACAGGGACGAATAAGAGATTTGTAGAGGTAGAAAATGGAATCAGAAGTAAGAAAATGGCGAGCACGATAAAGAGAAGCAACCTTAGCAGAAGCTAATTTAGCAATCGATTGTATATATGGTTTCCATGAAAGGTCAGTAGTAAGCGATAATCCAAGAAGACGTAAAGAGGAGGACTCAGTAAGAGGATTGCCATTCATTAATATAGGAATGTTGACCATATTATGGTAGTTGTTTGCAGTAAGCAACTGGGTTTTTTTAGAGTTGAAATTCACAAGCCACTGTGAACCCCAATCTATTACTGAAGTGAGATCGGATTCAAGATCAGCTGCTTGTTCTAGGCGATCGAAAAGAGAAGACTTTTTGTCAAGACAGGAATATAAAGTTGAGTCATCAGCAAAAAGAGCTACTTTAGATGAAAGGTTGTCAGGAAGATCGTTTATGTAGATAAGAAACAAAACAGGACCCAGGATGGAACCTTGGGGAACCCCAGAAGTTACTGGAAATAAAGAAGAGTGTTGGCCTTCAAGGACGACTTTAATAAACCGGTTCGAAAAAAATGATTTGATAATCTCAAAAACTTTCCCAGAAACACCATATGAAGCAAGCTTATGGAGAAGACCAGCATGCCAAACTTTGTCGAAAGCTTTAGATATGTCGAGAGCAATAGCCCTAGCCTCACCGCCTCCATCTAATGCACGATAAAATCTTTCAGTTACAGCAGTTAGCAAGTCGGTCGTAGAGGGAGAGGATCGAAAACCGTATTGATTGTCTGACAGCAGTTTATTTGACTTAAGATTAGATGTGAGGAATTTGTTGATCAAAGACTCAAAGACCTTGCTAATAGCAGAAAGAAGACTAATCGGACGATAATTGGAGAGGTCAGAATTTCTCCAGAGTTTTTGAATATTGGAACCACAGATGCCATTTTCCAACAAGCAGGAAAACAAGACTCAGTCAAACACTTGTTAAGTAGTTTAGAGAGAATTGAAGAAAGTTCTGGAGAACAATTCTGCAAGACTGTGACAGGAATGTTGTCTGGACCACAAGCTGTAGACGAGTTTAATTGAGATATGACTTTAGCAACAGAAGCCGGAGTGATTTGAATGTCTAACAATGGGTCAACCTGTTTGACTGGAATGGAAGGAAGAGAATGTCCATAAGATTCAAGAGTGGAATTAGAAGAAAAGTTCTTTGCAAATAGTTCTGCCTTATCCTTGGGAGAGGTAATAAGATCAGTCCCATGAATAAGAGATGGAATGTTAGATCTACCCTTGTTAACAATGCTGTTGAAGATTATCCAAAAGTCTTTAGAGCCTAACTTCTGCGATAAGATGCGAGATTTAGTGAACTGAGAATAATGGAGTTTAGCATTAGAAAGCACCTTTTTACATCGATTTCTTGAAATAATAAATAGCCGTTTGTTCTCAAGAGAGTTGTTCTTTTGAAAAAGATGAAAAAAATGATTACGATTGGATATAGCAGCCGCACAAGAAGGAGAAAATCATGGAGTAGAATGAGGCTTGACTTGAAACCGACGAGAAGGAATAAAAGCTTCCATTCCAGCCTGAAACCAGGAGGTTATGTAGGAGGCCCATTTGTCAGCTGAGAGAGAAAAAACATCAGCCCAAGGACCATCACAAAGAAAATCACGAAAGGAATCCCAGTCAGCTTTAGGGTAGTAGTAGATAGTGCGATGATAAGGTAAGCCCAAAAAAGAAGTACAAGAAGAATGATTTATAGAGATCATTGCATGGTCAGAACCACCTAAGGGAGAAAAGGGAGAAACTGAACATAAGCTAGAGTCAGAGACAAGACATAAGTCAAGGAGTGAAGGTAAATGATTAGGGTTGTCAGGAAAACGAGTCACAAAGTTAACTATCTGAGTAAGAGATTGAGAAACGCAGAAGTTAAAAGCTTTAGTGCCAGCAGGATCAGTGGTGTTAGAGCCAAGCCATTCAGTGTGATGGGCATTAAAATCACCAACAACAACAATATTGGCAGAGGGGTAAAGAGAGAGGGCATGGTCAATTTGATCAGAGATAACATCTAAAAGAGTGCAATCATGGGAAGAAGGAGAACGATAAAGAACAAAGAGAAAGGTAATGGAGTGAAGAGGTGCTAGGCAAAAGCACATAAAAGAATGGTCAAAGGATTCGAACCTGATTTCATGACAAATAGGGGAATTAATGCGTATGTATACCCCTAAACCTAGCATGTGACTATTGGAGTCTTTACGAACCAAAGGATAGTACCCATCAACACTGACATCTGAAGAAGGAATTGCAGAACTTAAATTTGTTTCACTGAATGCAAGCAAGTCTGGTGAACTTTGCAGGAGGTAAGACTCAACTGATGGAAAGTTGCTTCGTAGACCGCGAATATTTGTAAAAGATATATCAAAATATTTAGGTGGTGGGGATGGTTTTTTAGGTTTTAAATTTTTGGTTACTTTGGTCATGATTTAGGTTTAATGAGAACTAGACTCATTCATAGATAGAGCACAGCCTCCTAATTAATGAACTATGCAGTTGTCTCAGTCCTGTTAATTAACCCTAAGCCGTGACATAGGGCTCCTTATGTGGCCTTGACGCACACCAAAAGCATTAACAGGGACACCATCCATGCGCAACATGGCACTGTTAATACTCTGATATTTTGCAGCTGTTAATGGAAACAGCCTCTCTGAGAGCTACCACAGAGTTCCGGCTGGTAGTAAGGGAAACCTTACTACCAGCCGGCCTCAGAACCATTAAACTGAGTTTTAGAGCTGTACCCTCATATGGAGATAACAGGAAGAGTTGCATAGCCATTATCAAGGAGACATAAGCAAAATTCTATGAGTAGAGTCAAGGAGATCCAGCATTCATCATCCTAGGCAGGAAACAATGTAACACAGGTTACATCTACGCCAGCCTAATAGATGAAGAAGGGGTTTTGAGGCTGGTTAGCAGAATTTTTCTGCTTACCCCTGAAGTCTTTGCCTAGGAGGCCTTCTACAAGACAGTAGCAGGATGCAGTTAACATCTGCCCAAGATGAGTATTTTTATCGAGACACCATCTCTAGCCTTTACTCAATCAAGAGCCCCAAGGCAGGGGATGTTTAGCTGGATGCAGTTAACATCTGCCCAAGATGAGTGTTTTTATCGAGACATCATCTCTACCCTTTACTCAACCAAGAGCCCCAAGACAGGGGAATTTTTAGTCGGAGTTTATTTCTCCTAGCCTTTGCATAAAAAGAGCACACTCTGCAAGGCAGCAGGGCTTGTGGCAGGTGGTACTGGGTTACGTGATACCAGTAGCAAAATTGATCTCAATTATCCTGACCTGACCTGGAGTAGTTAAAAGGAGTTACTTTCCGCAACAGTACTTTGAGAAAACCAGGCATGACATTTTGGAAGTGCATTAGGAAAAACACTGCATCTAACAAAATACAGGAGTCTAAGGTGAGTGTAGGTTTTGTAGTTGGAGTAAGTAGTTAGTTACTGAGCTCACGCTGCATTAGAGTATAAACAGAACACAAACAAACATAAATCAACTTACGGGTGAGTCAACACCGCGCTAGAGGTTCAGACAGAACACAAAAATACATAAAAAACATAAAGTAACTTACTGGTGAGCAAACACTGCGCCAGAGGTTCAGACAGAACACAAACATACATAAAAAAAACATAAAAAACATAAACATAAACATAAAGTATTTTACGGGTGAGCGAACACCGTGCCAGAGGTTCAGACAGAACACAGACATACATAAAGAACATAAAGTAACTTACGGGTGAGCGAACACCGCGTCAGAGGTTCAGACAGAACACAAGCAAACATATAACGTAGATTACAGGTGAGCTAATACAGTAAGTAAGGCACCTCCAACTATATGAAAAAAAAAAAAATTAAAAAAAAAAATTACTATAGGCATGACTGATATTAGATAGTACCGATGACAGGAAGAACACTCCTTCCAGCCTTTGCTTAGATAGCAAATCCTGCAAGGCAGCAGAACATGGAACAGGTTGCACTGGGTTACATGTTACCAGTAGCAGGATGATCATGAAGACCATACTCCTGACCTGACCTAGAGAATTGCCATTAAAAAGCAAATTGATTGGAATAAACATAAAATATTTCATTTTGCATATTTTTTTTTTGGGGGGGGAGGGAAATGGCATTCAAAAGCATAACTTTAAAAAATTATTTACCTCAAAGTTTTTCAGCCATTGATAAGTCAAATTACTTCCAGTAGCAGAAATTTCCAAATTCAAGTTATCACCCTGACTCAGTCGCGCATTTTTGTGAGACAGATTTTCAAGAATATTAGGTCCATTATCAACACAAGTTGTTGAAAGGGTATCAAATCCTGAAACAATTTTTTCTTTATTAGGCAAATTTTGTACATACAAGTGTGTATATATATATATATATATATATATATATATATATATATATATATATATATATATATATATATACATAAATATATATATATATATATATATATATATATATATATATATATATATATATATATATATATATATATATATATATATATATATATATATACCCATATAGTGTAGCTTTAAGAGCGTTTTAATGTAAAAAAAGTCTCTTACGACTACAATTTTAATTACCTCGTCTCTTAAGCTGTTTTTGATTGTCATCCAAATGTCAAAGCAATTAATTTATGCGGAAGTACATTAAATTTAATTGTTTTTTAAAAAATTTTTAAAAAACCGCAATTATAACAACTAGAAAGTTTTTTTTAATTAGTGGTGTTTTTGTTATTGATTTAATAAAAAACATTTTTAAAACATGCGTAAATGTTGCTACATCG